CACACAAAATAATAAGATAAAATGAAATTTTTAAAAAATTTAAAAAAGGAAGAGGCTCAGTTGATCTCAGCTCCAAACAAAGGAAAGAGCAGTTATCATTTTTTAAATTTTTTTCCATAGTGGCTGTACCATTTTACATTCCCTCCAGCTGTGAATATGAATTCTAATCTTTCTACAACCTCACCAGCATTTGTTGTGTGAGGCCTCATTGAACTTTGCTAGTGTTGCTGGGGTAAGATATCTACAGTTGTTTTGATTTGCTTCTGGTTGGGTTTTTTGGGTTTTTGTTTGTTTGTTTTTAATTAATTTTAATGAAAGTTTACAGAGACTTAGGGCTACCAGTCATTCATTGTTGCACTTTTCTCCTCCCCCTCCCCAATTCACTCTTCTTGAAAAGAAAGAAAAACTTTCATTGTTATGCAATCCCTCCCCCCACATTTGCATCTGGTTTTTTTTTTGGGGGGGGGGTAAATTGTAATTTTTTTATTGGAAAACAAATATACAACTTGGAATGGATTTGAGGCAAATTGTGCCATAAGCAGAATTTTCTTTTAAGTGGCTAAACAAAGTTTAAAAAGCAAGTAACAATAAAAGAAAATGTTTCTGGTACAGGATCAGCAGTACAAAAAAATAGTGTACAAGTACCTGGATAATACACCCATTTTGCAATAGTGCAACTTTAAGTACGTATTGTTGACTATCCATAGTCCACGCAGAGTTACAACTCCACACTTCAACAATAACATGCTGACAGTTCCTAAAGAAATCTACTTTAAAAAAAAGGCATAAGCCAGATGTTCCCTCATTTGACCAACTCCATCTAAGTTTAGATGTGCAGAAGGGCTTAGATATATCCAGAGTAAGCCACATGCAACATGTTACTTGATCAATTTTCTAAAATAAGGTTTCAGGACAATGACAGTAAGATAAGAGAAGAAAACATGGAGGAATGAAGTCCTAATTACTATACATGCATATTCTTTGACAGTAGGGGGAAACCTTTTACAGATAAGTTACAAACAAAGAAAAGGCAAATAAACAATTTTGTACAAGAAATGTAACACATTCTGTACAATTTCTTCACTTTGCTGTCATCATTTGTACAAACTCTTCATAGTTTACTTGCCCATGACCATCAATATCTGCTTCCCTGATCATTTCATCAACCTCTTCATCTGTTAAACCTTCTCCAAGGTTTGTCATCACGTGACGAAGTTCTGCTACACTAATATAGCCATTACCATCTTTATCAAACACACGGAATGCTTCTCTAATTTCTTCTTCACTATCTGTATCTTTCATTTTTCTTGCCATCATTGTCAGAAATTCCGGGAAGTCAATTGTGCCATTACCATCAGCATCTACTTCATTAATCATGTCCTGTAATTCTGCTTCTGTGGGATTCTGCCCAAGAGATCATTACAGTACCCAATTCCTTTGTTGTTATAGTTCCATCACCATCCTTGTCAAATAGTGAAAAGGCTTCTTTGAATTCTGCAATCTGCTCTTCAGTCAGTTGGTCAGCCATGCTGCAAGCGCTCCTGCTCTCTGAGACGCGACCGCACAACCACTCAGCTCGCTCGCTCCACTCGGACTTGTATCTGTTTTTTTTAAAAACATTCTTTCAAAAACTGTAAAAAGATCATTATTTACTACATGGAAATACATCAGCAGCAAGTGGATTGTACACAAACTCATGAAATATTCTTGAGTTGGAATTTTCTGTGGCTGTCAGGGACCTCTCCAAATTAATAAGGAGCAATGATGTCAGTTTAAAGACTGAAGTGCTCCTGATTCAGAAAATGGTCTTTTCAATCACCTGTTATGCAATTGAAAACTGGACAATAAATAAGGATGACAGAAGAAGCATCTAAATAAGGATGACAGAAGAAGAATCAATAGCCTTTGAGCTGTGGTGTTGAAGAAGAGTGCAGAATATCCCACAGACTTTCAAAAAGACAAACAGGTATGTCTTGGAGAAAGTATATCCACAGTGCTCCTTGGAGGCAAAGATGGTGGAGCTTTATCTCGTGTACTTTGGGCATGTTTCTAGGAGAGGGACATCACGCCTGGGAAAATAAAGGGTCACTGAAAGAGTGGAAGACCCTCAACCAACTGCAAAAACAATTTTAAGTGTGTCATTTGTTCCCATTCCAAAGAAGGAGGACCCAACAGAGTGTGGATACTGTAGAACAGTATCAATGATTTCACATGCAAGCAAGATTCTATTGAAGATTATCCAAAAGCGACTGGAACAGCACATCAGCAGAGAACTGCCAGAAGTCCAGGCTGGGTTTAGAAGAGGTTGTGGTACTAGGGATATTGTACCTAATGTTAGATGGATCTTGGCTGAAAGCAGGGAATACCAGAGGAATGTCTATCTGTGTTTCCTTGACTATGCAAAAGCGTTTGCCTGTGTGGGTCATAACAAACTGTGGCTGACTCTGAGAAGAATGGGAATCCCAGAACACTTGACTGTGCTAATGCGAAACCTATACTT